CCAGCTTCCGCTCGATCTCGGCCTTGATCTGGTTGAACTCCAGCTGGGCCCGCAGGATCTTGCCCTCCTCGTGCTCCAGGGAGGCCTGGGAGGGGGTGGGGAGAGAGGGTCGGAGGCAGACTGTCAGGGCACAGGGCGAGGTGCGGGGGGAGGCCAAGGAGAGGCAGGGTATCAGCCGGGACTACGGCTTGGAGAAGATAGTCTGGGAAAAGATGCAGGAGGTGGGACCTGCATCCCAGGATGCCCTGGGTTTCCTCTGTCAAGGAAAGGGTTTGGACCTCACAAGTGCCAAGGCCCTCTAATACTAACACCGCACAATCCTGACCTTCTAAGTATCATAGAAAAGGCGGAGGTTTTTATAACGACATATTCCAAACTTTATTTTTATTTTCTGAGTCACTTACCCTTCAGTGAAAAAAGTTAGAAGCCCTGAAACTCAGGGCTCTCCCTAGGTTCTCTACAAATGAACAGTAACAATAGCAAATACATATTAAGTGCTTAAGTTTGTGACCTCATTTAATCTTAGTAACAATCATGCATAAAATCTTATTGGGTGTGTACAATTCATTCCATTAGAAATAAGAAAACTAAGGTGCAGAGAGGTTAAGAAGCTTGTCCAATGACACAGTGGAGGTCCTGAAGCCAAGTTTCTTTCTTTCTTTCTTTCTTTCTTTCTTTCTTTCTTTCTTTCTTTCTTTCTTTCTTTCTTTCAAGATTTTATTTATTTATTTGACACAGAGAGAGAGAAAAAAAGCAGGGGGAACGGCAGGGAGAGGGAGAAGCAGGCTCCCACTGAGCAGAGAGCCCGATGTGGGGCTCGATCCCAGGACCCTGGAATCATGACCTGAGCCAAAGTCTGACACTTAACCCACTGAGCCACCCAGGCACCCCTGAAGCCAAGTTTCAAACTTAGATCTGCTTGACTCTGAAGCCCACACTCCCACCTACTGTCTGAGGGGTTATTATGATGACCATATTTCAACTTTCTAAATACTGTAGGAAACATAACCTTTTGGCATGTGATCAGACTGTGATGCTTTCCTTGGTGCAGACCTTGGCTTTGGAGGCAGTCATGGGTATCGGGTTAGTGAGTAGACTGAGAAAAAGGAGCTAATAAATTTTGCCTGAGGGTCAGTGTCACCCCCGGGTGAAGGAGAATGGGGAGTCAGAAACAAGAGGGGGTGGGTAGGAGAGGGTACGAGGTAGGGGTGCAGGCAGAGCCTGGCTCACCTCAGCCTCCTCCAGGGCCGACTGCAGCTCCAGCTTCTCAGCCTCCAGCTGCTTGCGGACCTTCTCCAGCTCGTGTGCATTCTTCCCTCCTTCTCCCAGCTGCTCGGTCAGGTCGGAGATCTCTTCTGGGGGTCAGAGGGCCAGAAAGCTCAAAGCCTGAGCTCTCTCTGCTCCAGCGTGGCCCTCCCTGCCCCCAGCCCCTCCCCAGCCTCTCCGGCCCCAGCGCACCCTGAAGGTTCTTGTTCTCCCGTTTGAAGGTCTCCAGATGCTCCAGGGACTCCTCATAGGCGTTCTTGAGCTTGAAGAGCTCTGTGCTGAGGGAGCGCGCCTCCTTCTGCGAGGACTCCAGCTCTGACTGTGACTCCTCATACTTCTGCTTCCACTCGGCCAGGATCTGTGGGGACCCGGCTCACTGCACAGCCCCCAGCCCCCGCCCCAGCACCCCCCACCCCCTGTCCGCCCGGCCCTCCAGGGCCTGCCCAGGCCCCTCGGCGGGGCTCAGCCTCCTTCCCGGCCCCCCAGGAGGAGGTCCCTGGCTTCCTGGTGACGCCGGCCTCCCTGCTCTGCCCCTGGTTGAGGCCCCCAGCCCAGGCCCACCTTGTCGAAGTTCCTCTGCTTCTTGTCGAGGGCCGCAGCGGCTGCGTTGGAGCGCTCCACGTCCACCATCAGGTCCTCGATCTCATTCTGCAGCCGGTGCTTGGTCTTCTCCAGCGAAGAGCACTTGGCATTGACGGCCTCCACGGCCTCCTCAGCATCCTGCAGCCTCTGGGCCAGCTTCTTCCTGCCCGGGGCAGTAAGAGTGTGTGTGTGTGTGTGTGTGTGTGTGTGTGTGTGTGTGTGTGACTCTACAACAGCAGGCCCTTGGAACCACCTCCTCCCCAGACCAGGGTGACCCCATCCTCTCCCATAGCTCCCTGGGATCCTGATCAGCCCTTCAGGCCCCGATCAGCCCTTCAGGCCCCGGGTCCCCAGCCTTGAGGGACCCAAGCCTGCAGGTAGGTGGAACAGAGAGTCCTCCCTATGTGTAGCAGCATCTGGGTGGCAGCCTCCATCCCTCCCCACACCAGGCTGATCGATGGAAGCTCCTCTGACCAACAAGCTTTTTGCTCGTCTTATACGTGAGCATCAGGTATAACCCGAGCCAAAAGCTCATGCGTCACAGGAAATGAGTCAGGGCCAGCCAAGTTCACTCAGAGGCCAGGATCCAGGCTCCCTTTCAAGCACCTCTATTACCTGTTTCCTCCCCGCCTCACCTTTTCCCACTCTCCTCAGATCTCCTTCCTGTGCTCACTCTGCCTGTCCCCACCCCAGGTCCTCTTGCTCCTTCTTCCTTTAGAATCAGGGTGGTGGGCCGCCCGGGACTCACTTGGCCTCCTCGAGCTCCTCGGTCCTCTGGATGGCGTCTGTCTCGTATTTGGTCCTCCACTGGGCCACCTCCGAGTTGGCCTTGGACAAGACGCGCTGCAGCTCGGCCTTGGCCTCCGTCTCCTCCTCGTACTGCTCCCGCAGCAGGTCACAGTCATGCCGGGCTGACTGCAGCGCGTGGGCCAGCGCGTTCTTTGCCTGCGGAGGGGCGGGCACCGGGAGGAGGGCTTATCTCCCAGGAAGGTGGGAGGGAATGCACCCCCCCCCAGCATTCTCTAGATCTTTTTTATATCCATGAAGTTCAAATAAGCTCAGCCTCGCTCATTCAGGGTGAAGGCTGGCGTGGGGTCTCCCCATCTCGGAGTAGCTTTCCAGTTTGCCCACCCCACTCCTTGCAAATAAGGAAAGAGGCATTCGATGATGTTCAGGTGTGGCTTAGCTGGAGCGTAGAGGAACCTAGACTGGGGCGGGGGCGGGGGGCTTTCCACCACAAACAGAGGCTTATCTCCAGCCTGCGGGCTCCATTCCTGGTGTTGATGTAATTTAATTACCCAGGGCTGCCATCAAGCCTGTCCCACTGTCCCCTAGCTGGGCCTCACCTTGCCCTCCTCCTCCAGCTGCCTCTTGAGGTCCTCCAGCTGCTGGGTGTAGGAGAGCTTGCCTCGGGTCAGCTGGGAGATCAGTGCCTCCTTCTCATCCAGCTGCCGGGACAGCTCACCTGGAGGTGGGAACAAGAGAGCGTTTGTGGGCTATGGAAGGGGGCAACTGGTGCCTGACCCTGGGGCAGGGGCAGAGCCGGTTAGGGGCACCCACCGTTCTCTGTCTGCAGCTTGGCTCGCTGGGTGGTGAGGTCATTGAGAGAGCGTTGGGTCTCTTCCAGCTTTGCGCGGTACTCATTGGCCTGGTCCTCCAACGTCCGGGACACCTTCTCCAGGTTTGCCTTCAGGCAGTAAGGGACAACTTGTCATGGAGAAGGGGCTGGGTGGACCAGAGAAAGGAAGGGAGGGCCAAGGTAGGGAGAGCATAGGGTTCAGGGGCTGAAATGGAGAGGTGCTGGAGGGCGCAGTCTGAAGGGGGTGCATGAATTAAAGGAGGGAGGGTGAGGAGCTGGGGGTGGAGGCAGGGAAGGTGAGAGAGAGAGCGAGACAGAGAGCAAGGGCTGATGAAGGAGTGACAATAAGACAGGGCAGAGAGAGTGGAAGTAAGACCGCTGTGGGAGAGAAGGGGGTGAGGACGGTGAGCAGGCAGCCTACCTTGGCCTTGATGATCTGCTCCATGTTGGAGGTGACATCGTCCAGCTCCAGCTTGAACTCGCTCTTCTCCT